TTCCCAAAGGAAACTACAAAGTTATTCCTCACAAACTAATCTCACTGCCCTCACACAATTAGGCATTAGAGACCAGACAAAAATGTCACTGCACTTACTGGGCTTCCCACGTTGTACTGTGGTAAAGAATCTGCTAATACAGGAGACACAAGAGACAAGGGTTTGGTTCCTGGGTTAATAAGATTACTTGGAGGAGGAAATGGCAACCCATTCTAATATTCTTGCCTGGGAAATCCCATGGACGGAGGAGCCTGGTGGGCTACAATCCATGGGGTCACGAAGAGTCAGACACAACTGAGCACCCAAGGCCTTTTTTTGGACCTTGCCAATTATGCTACAAAGTGGATTATCTCTGTAATGTGAGAGCACTGTAGTTCTTGTTAGTTTTGTAATTGTTAATTTCACCAAACAATATGTTTAGTATCAAATAGGCCTTGGCCAGGTGTTTTCTTGATGTTGTAATACTTTAAAATAGAAGGGTAGTACAAAGAAAGTGAAAATGACCATTGGGGTCCCAGAAACCAGAACCTAGTAGTAAGCATGGGTCGTGGGTCCCGGCCAAACTTATGCACAAGATTTTAATGGATGCACTTCTGTATTGTTCTGGATCTCACTAAGCAATATCTTCTTTGTGCAGAGTAGTGGTGCTGAGGTTCTGGGTTTATCACCACCTCAGAATAAGTCTATGTTTGGGCTATAAATATGAGGAAACACCATAGAAAACTAGTCTTAGAAGCAACACCTTGAAGTAATCTTGTAAAGTAAAGAATCAGTAATATAGTAAATATAGTAAAATAGTAAATATAAAACATAGTAAAAAGAATAGTAAAGAATCAGCAATATAGTCCTTATGATCCAACTGGCTGGGCAGAGTGATGAATCTTTATTTATTTCACTGAATAGTAATATTAAGAAAGATTATCTGGGTGGCAATAGTCACTCTTCCAGATACCTCTTTTTTTTTTAAAATAAATTCACCACCACCCTTGAGGAGTGATCAATAGTTTAAAACTGACCTAGGTTGAAGAATTACTGAAATGCCCACTCCAGCCTATTTCTTAAGACTGCCTTTAGTTTTGGTGAATGAGAAAGCACTTGTTGCCATTTCCTTTCTGAGAACTGCTGAGTTAGTAGGGAAGGAAGTGAGAGATGTTCGATTGAATTCTGTCCTGTGGGGGAAGGACAGGGCTGGGCTGTGCCTCTGAGCACCAGCTTCTGCTTTTGTGGGGCTGGCTTCCCAAGTAGCTGGTTCCTATTTATAAATGTCTGTAAAATTGGTTTGAGGAGTCCTACCTAATCCCCTTTCTGGAAACAAATGACCCCGGGTTCAGGGAGTGGCTAACTTTCTTTGCCCAAACTCAGGGCCACACTCAGTGGAACATTTTTAACTGGTTTCCTGTCTGTAAATATTTTAAAGATTTGGTCAAACCTTAAGAAAAAAAAAAAAAGAGGGTCTGATTTAAACGTTGCTTCTGTGAGAATTTTTTTCTTTGGTCTGTGTTGAATAATATAGCTTGAGAAAAGCCTAGTTGAAGCATCAAGTCACATCAGATAATAATGATAGAATGATAGAGCTTCTGATCCAGTCTATGGGAGCCCTAATGTTGGATGTAGTTCTGCCATTAACTGACAAGTTTCATTATTTATTTGATATTAAAATCATGCTTATAATATTACTTTACACCATTTTCCAGCATTACATCAGTGTCTTTGGCACACTAGACCTTATTTGTCCATGAACTGAAAGTTTCTTAAGAATGTCTTGACTCTCCTGATAATGTTGTGATTATTGCTGAAACTCATTTTTTGTGCTGTAATGTATCTATGCTGCTTGTTTGTAGATGTTTGGGAAATGGTGTGGTTGAGATAAAAATATTCAGAAAGATTCAAGGAAAAATTAAGTCTTCTGCCAACTAGATTCTCTGATACTCTTATTAACATATGTTACATTTCACATAGTTAATGAGATAATTCTCTAAAGCACCATCTTGCTGCTAATACTTTTATTTCTTTAGTCTGCTTTTTGACTCATAATTTCTCCATTGCAATTTAACTCTAAAAATTACCTTTAGGTTGGAGGGCTCTGGGGTCAAGACTGCCTAGATTCAAAACTCAGTTTGGCCTTCTCTGGGCTTCCCTGATGGCTCAAAGGGTAAAGCGTCTGCCTGCAATGTGGGAGACCAGGGTTCCATCCCTGTGTGGGGAAGATCCCCTGGAGGAGGAAATGGCAACCCACTCCAGTACTCTTGCCTAGAGAATCCCATGGATGGAGGAGTCTGGTAGACTACAGTCCATGGGGTCCCAAAGAGTTGGACATGACTGAATGACTTCACTTTCTTTCTTTCTTTCTTTTTGGCCTTCCCTGGCTATGTGGTCTTAGGTGAATTTCATTATTTGTAAAATGGGGATAAAAATTAGCAATCACAGAATTATAGAATAGCAAGGGTGAAAATATTCCTTGAGTATCTATTATTTGTTAGGCACTACTGGACAATTTGGGGCTTCCCAGGTGGCAGAGTGGTGAAGAACTAGCCTGTCTATGCAGGAGACATAAGAGATGCAGGTTCGATCTATGGGTGGGAAGATTACCTGCAGGAGGGCATGGTAACCCACGCCAGTATTCTTGCCTGGAGAATCCAATGGATGGAGGAGCCTGGCAGGTTAGTCAATAGGGTCGCAGAGTCAGACACAACTGAAGCGACTTAGCTTGCGCACACACACATCGGATAATTTATGAGTCCATGTGATGCTCTGTTAAGTAGGCATCCTTTTATTTTTGGATGATTCAATTATGACCAGAAAGCTTAGTCAATTTTCCTAAAGGTCACACAAATGGTAACTACTTCAAGCTCAGGTTTGTTTCTAAAGCATATGTCCCTTTCACTACATAACATAAAGAAAAATGTACTCTTTTCCCTCCCTAGGTTATAACGTTTCAGGGTTTCCCACTATTACACAGTTGTTTTGCATGTAGAAAACAAATGTGTGACTTGATAGAGGTCATGACATGGAGGAAATTTAAATGTGAAAGAAGTGAAAGACAGTATGAAAAAACTACATTCTCTATGATTTCAAATACATGACATACTGGGAAATGAAGACATTTAAATATCAGTAGTTGCCAGGGATAAGGAGAAAGGGAACGATGAATAGGTGGCACACAGTATTCTTAGGTTGGTTAAACTACTCAGTATGATACTATAATGGTGTAAACACATACATTTATCCAATGTATAATATTATAAATGTATTATTATACATTTATACAATGTACAACACCAAGAGCTGACCCTAAGGTAAATTATGGACCTTGGGTGACGCATTAATGTAGACTCATCAACTGCAACAAAGGTACCACTCAAGGGGAAATACTGATAATGGGGAGAGGTTATGCATGTGCAGGTGTAGAGTGCAAGGGGAATCTAGGTACCTTCGAAACTTTTGCTGTGAACATAAAACTGTGCCCCCCCCCCAAAAAAAAATAAGCCTACTAAAAAACAAGCATAAAGAAAAGCAAAATGGTGAAATGGTGTAACTTGAAAGCGGAGTAAGGAAAAATAAATCTGCAAAAGAACTTATCTGCCTAGCATTATAGAGTGAAAAAGACGAAGTCTAAGTCGGACACCTTGTGCTGACGTCCTGCTTACTCACAAAGTTACTAGGTGACCTTCAGCAACCTACCTCACCTTTCTGGCGTGTCTGCGTGCTCAGTCGTTTCAGTCATGTCCGACTCTTTGCGACCCTATGGACCCACCAGATTCCTCTGTCCATGGGATTCTCCAAGCAAGAATACTGGAGTGGGTTGCCATGCCCTCTTCCAGGGAATCTTCCCGACCCAGGGACAGAACCGGTGTCTCTTGCCCCGCAGGCGGATTATTTACCGATGAGCCACGGGGAAGCCCCCACCTTTCTGGATCTCAGTTTCAAAATGCTTTAAAATGTGCCGGTTAAACTGGTCTCTAACTTCTCTTCCGGCCCTAAAATCACAGCTTTATATCTAAGGACCCACCCCTACTTTCTTTTTCTTTCAACCCAGAAGAACCATTCTCGCCTAAACCTTGTTCTTACTCAACTGCGTACTTTCTGACGTACTCGCTGGATCTTAAAACAGAGCAACTGGTCCTCGTGACGGCGAAACTAAACAGTGGGGGTGGAAGACTGAACTCAGAGGGGGAAAAAAGCGCAAATAAGCGCATAAGTTCCACATCCAGCGGCAGTAACCCGAAGAAGGTAGACACTGATGGGTAAAACTGACGCTACGTAGCGACGGCGGAAGCGCGAGGAGGGTGGGGTGAGGCCCAGAGCCGATTGGATGGCTGAGGGAGCGGGGCCCGCGCTCATAGCGCTGGGAAGAACGAGGGAGGAACCACGGAAGCTGCGCGCGCGTCGCTAGATGGTTTCTGCTCCCTGGCTTCCCTTCCCCGGAGCCTGGAGGGCGGGTCATCGGGCGTGCCGACGCCGCGTGACGTCACAAGGGGCGGGGCGACCCGAGGGTCCTGCCGGCGCGCGGGCGCGTTCCGCAGTCGGTGTTTGGGACGCTGGGTGTGTAGTGACTCGGAATCTGCTCCGGGTTCGCTGTCACAGCCCAGCCCTTCCTGGAGTCCTGGACGGACAGGGCACGCGCCCTATGTGTCAGCGGGACTCAGGACAGAGGCGTCCTCTCGCTGCCTTTTTTTCTTCCTTTTATCCAAAGAAGGGGGCAGTTCTCACGCTTGCCTTCCTGTCGCCCCGTTGGGAGCGGGGTTGGTGTGCGGAGTGGTTCGTCTTTTTTTCTTTTAAACTTGTGAGCGTTTTTTTTTTTTTTTTTCTTTCCCTTTTTTAGGCTCAGTGCCGTCTGGACTGGTTTCCTCGGTCCCTGGCTAACCTCTTTCTGCCCCTTCTCTCGCCACCCCCGCCCAAGGTCGCCCCTCCGCCCTCGCCCCTGGCCCGGGGTGGGTGGGAAGCTTTGTCCGGCTCCCTCCCCACCCGATTCTCCGCAGCGTAGCCGCACCTGCCTCAATATGAACGGGGTCAGGGACCCCCCTCTTTTTATAAAAGATATTAAGCCCGGACTGAAAAACTTAAATGTCGTCTTTATTGTCCTGGAGATAGGTAAGTGGGGTCCGCAGCCCGCTCCGCCGCCCTGTGCGTCCCGGGACAGGAGGGAAGGGCACCGCAGCTGCGAGCCGGGGGCTCCCTCCCCCTCTCCTCTCTCGCCTCTCCCCTCCCCCATCCACGTGGCCCCGTTGGCCCCCGCCGGCTCGGTAGCTCGCCTGCGGCGAGAACCTGAGGCTCGGCCTCTTCCCACCTTTCAGGTGCAGTTTGATCCTGGAGGAGGAGTTAGCTTTTTGGAAGTCCTCATTATCTAATACACCCTTCCCCCTTTTGATTTTTAAATGTTCACAGGACGCGTGACCAAAACCAAAGACGGCCATGAAGTGAGATCATGCAAAGTAGCAGATAAAACTGGCAGCATCACTATTTCCGTGTGGGATGAAATCGGAGGTCTTATACAGCCAGGGGATATTATTCGGTTGACCAGAGGGTAGGTGTGCTTAAAAGGGTTGGGGAATGAATGCGCCTCCAAAGTAGGAGTCTGCAGAATCCAAATTGACTGATGCCCGGCACCTTGGCAAGTTCTGGTTAAAGTTTAGGGTTTTCTGTGGGCCACTCCGAGGATTTTTGAGCCCCATCGATGTTAACCTGAGATGGTGGACGGCATTGGGATGGAACAATTTTGCCTTTAAAAAGTTTCAGCTGGGAATCTAAATAGCCACACCTAGTTTACAAATTAGGTAGATTTTTAAATACCACTCTAGAATTACTCAGTCTTTTAAGTAGATTAAAACTGACAGTTAATCTTTTTTCATTAACTATATAATGTAGTTGTCATTTAGTTTATTTTTCCAACTTTTCCTCCTTTTAATAACTTTTGAAGTCCTACCTATATTTTATTTGTGTACACATTTAGACCGTGTGTACTTAAGTTGAGATTGTAGCTGGAGAATTTAGCCAGTTTTGTAGTGTGTCCAATTTGTACTCGGATGTAAAAGTTGAAAGAAAGTTTACAATATCTGGAAGGTACATTCTTGAAAATGATTCCTTTTGCCTACTGTTGTAAGGTTAGTGTTGCACAAAAACCAGAATGTTATGCAGAAAATGTTTGACAGAAGGATATCTATGATACCTCTGTCCAAAAGAGTTGGCAGATTGGCTTTTAAAAATAGTACATTCTTTTGGAAGTGGGGGTGGGGGAGGTTAGTAGTTAGACTGCATTTACCAAGATTTTAACTTCGGAAGATAAAATGCTAGAGAAGGATCTTTAGATTTTGGAACCTTTTTGGTTTACAGAATTATAACAATTCATTGGTCAAAACTGTAGGAAAAGTGGGTGGAGATTGATGTTAGCTTAGTGAATAGAATCTCAGAAAAGTGTTGGATCATCCTGAAAGTAGCAACTTAAGAGCCCTTTGATAGTATCTTACAGGTCTTACAGCACCTTCAGGAAGTGAGGCAGAGTATCATCAAAGAAGGAAGTGAGACTCAGACATTTTTTTCTCATACACTGTGACTCATTATGACACTGGTTAAGTCTTTTAAACTTCCACATTTTTAACTTGCACAAAAGAGAATTTCTACCAGGGAGGGTAGGGTGAAACTTAGCATAATTAAAGTTTTTTGGCTGCCAGAGTATCTCATCCAGTGATTAGAAGTTATTTTATACACTGCAAACAGCTTCTCATTTCGATTATCGCATATTTTGTAGTCACAGAAAATACATAGATGTGTCCATCAAAAAAACTGTGGAAAAACTAAGTAGCCAAGTAGGATCTCCAGGATCTTAAGGAGTATAGTTACCGAGGAGTACAGTGTAAAGGAACATTGAAAACCAAAGAAATCTACTATTTTCTAACTTCTGTTTAATGTTGAAGTTACTACGTTTTCTCAACTTTTTTCTAAAGTGGGAATCCCAGGTGGCGCTAGTGGTAAAGAACCTGCCTGCCAGTGCAGGAGACATTAAGACACATGGGTTCAGTCCCTGGGTTGGGAAGATCTAGAGAAAGAGATAGCAACCCACTCCAGTATTCCTGCCGGTAGAGTCCCATGAAAAGAGGAGCCTGGCGGACTAAAGTCCATGGGGTCACAAAGAGTCGGACACAACTAAAGTAACTTAGCACGCATACCTTACTTACTAAAGTAACATCCCGTGGAGTATGGCCCATTTGTAAGTCCCTTAAATTCTTGTTGAATCTAATAACAGAAGCTTTTGCAGAAAGGTATACATCTCAATAATGGTAATTTGAATATTGGCACACATATCAGAAAATCCTGCAGACATTGATCTCATTCCTGAAATAAGTGAAAGTTAAATGCTTTAGTTGCAGTTAACCAAATTTTCTCTCAAAATAGGTGTTAATTTTTACTTTAATAAGGGAAGATATTAGTGCACTGTTTCAGTCACTTTTTTGTGTAACAAAGTGATGAATGGGATCTTTAATAAATAACATTTACTAAATAAAGAGAAATACATAATGTGAGACTAGAAGAATTTTATTAACTTGTATTAAAAGATAAACCATCACTGTACTTAAATAATGCTTGGTTATAATTTATCTTTCTAAATCATGACACTTAATAGTAGCTCTACAAAGAACCAAGCCTTTGTTAGTATTATTTTATAATACTAACATTTTTCATAGATTTGTGTATAGGATTATTTTATATAATGATACTATCTGAATTCAGAATTGTTTAAATGTTCAGAGGTTGTTGCTAAAAATAGGGAATTTGAAAAAGCAAATCAGTGTAAGATTATGATCTTAGTTTTTTAGCCCCTTCCTTGATTAAATTTACTAACTTTTTAGTAACTTAGGAATAACCCATACTAGCCTGTGTTTTCTAGAGGCAAAGGAAGAACTATTTTACCAGTATCTGGTAGACCAATTACGTTAAGTATAAAAATTAAACACTGGGGTGTAGATTTTATATGTCCTGTGATTGAATAAAGTAATTTCTGCTTAAGTCTCTGCAGTTTGAAAGTTCTCACTTTGTTAATTGACCAAAGATGTGATCTTTGGAGTATAATAATGCTTCCTTTGCAAAAAGATGTCTATTTTCTAGGGTTAGTTATTGTTTAATTATATCAAAATTTGGCAGTAGATTTTTGTTCACATTATTATTTAGTAAGTAACAAGTTAATCAATGGCAGACACAGGGCTTGAGCCCCACCTGCACACCAGTACAAAAATTACAGTATAAAAATTTATTTAAGTTGAAGGAAACATACATATTTCCGTAGAACTGATGTTTCTTTTCTTTCTAGGTATGCATCCATGTGGAAAGGATGTCTGACACTTTATACTGGAAGGGGTGGAGAACTTCAGAAAATTGGGGAGTAAGTATTAAAATATGTTTCATATAATTGAATAAATTACAAAGAATATCAACAGAATAACTGATAGGTGTAAAGTATGCACCTCTTCCTTGACCTTTTTTGACTGGTAAACCGAATGCTTCCAGCAGCTTAACTCTATGTATGTGCTGGTTTAACAGCTATCAGTACTGTTGCCTGTGGTTGAGAATGTCAGTGTTTCCTGGCAGAGAGCATTGAGAAGCTGAATTTGAGACGATCCCCCGTGGGACCATTTCTGTTGGCTTTGCGAACGTATATCTTTCAGGTGTCACAAGTACCATTTGAAGTAAACTCTGTCATCTAGTGAATTTTCATTTAAGAAGCTGAGTATTAGTTTTAGGCAGTAAGTTTAATTTTTCTTTTTCTCTGTTTATGGGTGAATATGTACCCATATATAAAAGGATTTGAAGCAGTGACAATTGAAGTCCTATATTTATCTAGTCTAGATACTGTACGGGCTGCCACAGTGTGAGCTTCCATAAACTACTACCCTGGTTATCTCCACTTTGACTTTGAGGAACCATCCTCTCTAGGAGTGTAAAGGTAGTTCAGTCTCCACACTGGCCGACATTTGGGATGTACTCATAAAGTATGGTGTAGGCAGTGAACCAAACCATTAAGTCCATTCTATTTGGTTTATGCCTGAGACACCTACTTAATGCCTATCAAAATAGAGGATATTTAAAGGGAGAAGCCACAAATGGCACCAGAAATCAAATAAAGGAAGAATGTATTCTATACTGCAGGCATAAGGTACTTTGGGGAAAATAAGCAATCTGTGAGCTTTTTTTTTTTTTTTTTTTAGCTTTTAAAGATAATAAACTGGTAACACTGCTTTGGCTAGGAGGAAAATTAGAGTTCACTTTTGTTCATATTTAGAGTAATGTTAGAGCAATGTGCTATGAGAGGTCTTAGCATCAGTATTACAGAAAGAATTAGGATTCTGACACAACCTTCACAGACATGTACAGTCTTTATAATTATGGAGGTCAGTTACATGAAGAACCACTGGAGGTCACTCAGTGCATAGTGACTTTGTGTTGGGGTCAGTATAGGAGTTACCAAAACTGATTGTAATTTGCGGGTTGAGTAGCTAAGAAAATGCTTATGTGTAATGTTAATTAATATACACCATAGTCAGCTGATAAGTCTTGGGATAAACTGTTTTGATAGCCAGTTGTCTTTTATTAATGCCTGTAAAATCCGCTTTTAACCTTGAATGATTATCTTTGCAGATTCGCAGTGATTGATCAAAGAATGACTATGAGTGGATGAGAGTGTGTGAGTGGATCAGTGCAAATCCATCACCACTGCTGGAAAAACCACTCTGGAACCCTATACAGAGGCATCAATCAGCCTGTGTGGAGAAACAGGACAAAGATGTGTTCCTGTGCCCTTGATCTTTGACATTTAATTTCTGCAGTACAAAATTAGAACTAAAATACAAAATAGAATGTTTCTGACATTGTAGACAATCAAGTATTTGAGTTTTTTTTTTTTTTTAATGAAACAAAGCTTTTAGGAAGTTTTGTTGTAAATGAATAGAGTTAGTTAGCATGTTGCTGTTTGGTTAACTCATTGACATCTAAGTTCTTTCTTCCTGTTAGTTATGCATACTATATAAAGGTTGATTATTTCAGAAATCATTCAAATTGTCCTTTATTGTCTTTCAGATTTTGTATGGTTTATTCAGAATTGCCAAATTTCAGTGAACCTAACCCAGATTATCGAGGACAACAGAACAAAGGGGTAATTAATCCAAATGTATTGTCTGTTCTTATGATTAGGCTAATTTGACTGTGTAATATAATTCTATGGCTAGGTTGCCAAGCTTTTCATATCCTAAGTATAATGGAGACAGTTTTAAAAAGAATCTTTTAAAGGTCATTTTCATTTTATGTATTTTGTGAGTCTGTATAGGATCTGAAATGGTGCTGATGAACCTATTTGCAGGGAAGGAATGGAGACAAAAACGTGGACAATGGGCTGGTGGACAGAGTGGGGGAAGGAGAGGGTGGGACACGTTGAGCAAGTAGCATTAACATGTAGACATTATCTTGTGTAAAGCAGTTAATGGGAAGCTGCTGCAGGGAATGCAGCCTGGCGTTCTGTGACGGCCTTAGAGGGGTGGGGCTGGGTGACTGGTGGGAGGGAGGTTCAGAAGGGAGGGGACACACACACACACACAGATTTGAGTTGTACAAGCAGAAGTCAACACCACATTGTAAAGTAATTATCCTCCGATTACAAATAAACTTTAAAAATTGTTTTAAAAAGCCTTGAAAGTTAAAAAGAATGGATACATGTTTTATGTTTATTTTGAAATCTTTATTTGATTAAGTGAAAACTTTTTTTTTTATAGGCACACAATGAACAGAAGAATAATTCCATGAATAATAGTAGCAATGTGGGTACAGGTACATTTGGACCAGTGGGTAAGATTTTTTTTTTGGCATATTTGTGGTCAGGTATAAGAATTAAGGGAATCTCTTAAATGCAAAAAACTTGTCTTTAGGCAAAAATTAGTACTAAAAGGGAAAGTACTGTGAAAGAGGGAATTCTCAACTAATTTTTCTAGAAAAAACAGATACCCTCTTAAGGTAATTTATTGAGCACATTCTATATTTAAACATTTGGACCAGTTACTGGGAACACAGTGATTAAGAAATTAAGTTTTGTTGATGCATTATGCTATTTTTTGTTGATTTTTACAGAATTTCTACAATCTAGTAATTGTTTATAGTAGATGCAGAATAACTGGTTATTTTTGTGTACTGAAAGCAGTTTATCCTCAGATGAATAGCTCACCTTAGTTTTTCATATGCTAATAGCTGGCCTTTACCCCTCAAATACCCTCAGAGGTCAGTGACTCATATCTTTGTTAAAGGTCTTTTGAAGCCTTTATTCTTAAAGACATAGGGAAAAGTCTTTAGTGACTGGAATTCATTAGGGTGGCTGAGAGGGCTTATCTGGCTGCTTAGACGGTAGAGAATCCACCTGCAATGCAGGAGACCTGGGTTCAATCCCTGGGTTGGTAAGCTTCCCTGGAGAAAGGGCGTAGCAACCTACTCCACTGTTCCTGCCTAGAGAATCCCCATGGACAGAGGAGCCTGGCGGACTGAGGCCTGTAGGGTCGCTGAGTTGGACACAGCTGAGCACACAGCGCAGTGTGGCTGGAGTTGACGTGACCTGTTGGCTACATGCTTTGGCACAGCTCTGATAATTGTTATGTTGTGGGACACTTTGCTGTTTTTTTCTTTAGAAAGTTAGAATTATAGTCTCTTTCTTAAAATATTACTAACCTTATTTGAACCAAATGCCAATTGCTTTTACTTTTTCCCTCAATACAGGTAGTACCGTATCTATGCTTTTTTCCTACTTTGTTATCTTCTCATTCAGTTGCCCAAGTTGCTCTTTTCCCCCACTCCTTATTGATACAAGCATCAAGTTAATACATTTGAAGTAACTACATTTGGCAAAACCTAGAACTCACACTGAGTTTTTTCCAGTAATTTACAAATAAAGGTGTTTGTTTTCCGTAATATTCTTATAAGCATTAATAGCATGTGTTACAACTTTAAATAGATGTAATTCTGTCTGAAAATGGTGATGATTTTTTTATATTCTTTCTTAGGAAATGGGGTTCAGACTGGCCCAGAAGCGAGGGGATGCCAATTTTCATATGCTGGTAGAAGCAATGGCCGGGGACCTATAAATCCACAGCTACCAGGAACAGCTAATAATCAAACAGTCATGACCACAATAAGTAATGGCAGGGACCCTCGGAGAGCCTTTAAAAGATGACCTTTACCAAATACTCGCATGTAGTTTTTAAACTATATGCCCTACTTGAACACTTATTGCACTTTTATTTATTGTTAACTGTGAAAACTGTTGTTTATCTGTTTCTTTTTATGTTTTTGGTTTGTTAACAAGAGTGGTTTGTTTTTTATAGAAGAACTATTAAGCTGCTCGAGTCTCCTATTGAAGAATGGGAACACTCTGAAGAATAGGGGCATTTATTTTTAGAGCAAAAAGATCTTTGGATATCCTCTAAAAAACCTGCACCCATTTCATGGGTGAGTTACTTAAGCCATCAGCATTTTAGCCTCTATGAGTCTGTCTTCTATATAAATTTTGTAATATTTAAAATAAGGCTTAGTGGGAGATGTTCTTTTGTCTTAAATACAGATATTGCCAACTAAAGCAATAACCACCAAAAAACCAAAAATCTGGTCAATGTTAACAGCAATTTTTGAGTGTGACTCCAGGGAATGATTGACTTCTTCATTGAGTGACTGCCATTAAGATTTTCCAAGGACTGAATCATCCTAAACTCTTGTTGTATTACCGAAAAGCATATTCTTTATCAGAATTATGGAACAGAATGTGATCTGTATTATGACAAATTTTTAGAAGGAATCTACATTTATTTAAAAGTAGTCCTATTAATATTTATCAGCATTGTGCGTTAAACACTGAATGGAAATTTAAACCTGAGGCCTTGAATGTTTATTTTTTGAAACTACTGTGTCAAATATTAAAGTTTAATTTGAGGGAGTTATGAAGTCATAATAAACATTGATCTAATTTTTACAGATTATGATAGATAAATATAATAGTGAAGGCAATTCAAATTGAATTTATATTCAATCTTACAGGGTCCTGGGTACTTGCAGAAAATCAGCCTGGAGTGAAAATCCTAGGTACTTACTTATTTGAAGGGAGTGTGTGTGTGGGTGTTTATTGTCAAAGTTTCTGAACACAATTCACAAAGCCTTATCAGCAGAAGTTAAGAAATGGCTCTCTCAAAGAAGCAAATACAGCTTTATTTAGAAATATAAAGGTTACATTTACTCATGTGATGTTAAATGGTGTCCAGTTCCACTTTTCACTGTAGAGTGGATAACTGGAAAATTTTTCCTTTGTTAGAATTAAAACTCTTCAGAATTATCTCTTGAATAAAATTCGCATTAATGTTAACAGACCTACCTTATTTTTGCTCTTTTCATGATTTACAGTGGAGAGCCAGTACTTTTTTTTTTTTTTTTTTTTTACTGTGACTGTAGTCATGACTTCAGCCTGGGTGACTGCTTAGCTCTATATTTGTCACTTTGTCTTTTTTCTCCCACCTCAAATAGCAAAATAGTTTAAGTACGCTTTGTTTTCTGACAGTGCCGTGGCGTTTGAATATAAAAATCTGCGCCAGATACTTATTTGCTCTAATCCAGTTTCTGACAGTTTAGCACGCATCAGGCACTGCGTCAGTAGTGTTAAGGGGTAAATGAAGTAATGAATAAGCTCCCGTTTCTTTATGGTTCTTAAGTAACTGGGGATTTTATGTTATAGAAATAAGTTTTCCCTTTATTCACATACTGTTATTATAGTTCATTTGGTTTTGTAACTAGTATTTTTTCAAGATGTTCATAAAATTACAAATGTTTGAAGTTAAAAAAAATTGCAAATTAGTAGGTTTTTTTTTTTTAAATCTTTTAAGTAAGGGTAGGAGCCCTAAGACTGAATTATTTGTGGGAGATTAGTATTAAAAGTGATTTTGAAAGAATTTTAGAGTTAAAAAAAAAAATAATCAGGTATTGGCTTGCTGAGATGGTAATCCTGGCCTGATTCTCTTCACCTGTGGTATTGGACAAGCTGTTCACTTAAAACCTCTGTAAGCCTTAGGTTCCATAACTGTAAAAATAAGTAAGTGATATTACTTCTTTAGAGTTATTTAAGATTTTTCCATGTGAATGATTAGAATGATTTCTGGCTCCTAGTAAGCAGTCAAATGTTTGTTCTCTAATCATACCTCAAGAATAGAAAAAAATGCAGGAGTTAGGTGTGGAGGTATTGTTACCCTTTAATGTGTTGAGATTAAGTAGAGAAAGACCTTACGTTTTACTTTTGTGATTGATGTTTGCCTCAATAATTTAACCTTGCTGTTCTGTGGGGTTTTTTTTAAATCATTTATTAACAAATTTCTTTTTTCTTAAGGGAAGCCTCCAAAACCAAAGCAAAGTGAGTTACAATTCATAATGAATATTTGCCTTCTCAGCCTGCTTGGACAGTACTCATCAAGAAGTTAAGAGGAAGAAAGTTTCCTACCTTTTCTCCTTCCTGGCGCTTTCAGCTAACAACTTCATAAGTTTAAACACCTACTGAAAACAAAGGCCATTTGGTATAGAAATACACACTACTGGGTTTGGGTCCCACTCTATTTTTATAAGTCAGTTCTGAAGTGGATTGAAGTGAATTAAAGTCTCATTAGGCAGGTGGCCCCTTCTCTCTGGGGAGGTTCTTTGGGGGGGTTACTACAGTACAGACTTGGAAACATGAAGCCCATGAAACAAGGTGGTGATATGTATTAGTGAAGCCTGCAGTATGCTTTCCCATGGACATTTACGCCAACTCATTTTTGCTTGGTTCCTGTAGTTTTAGTAATTGCATTTTAAATTTGAGGACAGTTTAACTTGAGGCTCACCTAAATAATTGTATCACTGAGAAGAGTATTTGTCACTTGTAGTTTTATCTTTCAACATTTTCAGAGAATGTTTAATTTGCTGGGTTGAGTAATAACTCCGAGGCAATGATACTAAAAACAAATAGATGCAAGTTTAGTAAAATCAATGATCTATAAAGAACTTGTAAAGTAATCAGAAGGTGGTTAACCGGCCATAGAAAGTTTTCTCAGAAGGTACAAATTTGAGACTATTTTACATCAGTCTTAAGACACAATAGAAGTTCTTAGTTTATGTGGATCTGACATTCCAGTTTAGTTACTGACATGCCTTCCTTTCTTATACCTTAATAATACCATTATAATGTACAATAATAAGAGATTGCTCCAATTGTAGGCTGCTGTGACTTAATTAAAGAGACTTTAATGTATTCACAAATGTTCTATAAACAACAAACTAGAAAACCACGTGAAAAGCAGTTTTAACATAAGACTTTTTCACACCAAACTGTTTTTCCCTCTAGACTTGTTTTTGGGGTAGCTTCTGCTATGATGCTTTTTTTTTTTAAATCTACTTTTCCTTCTGTTAATTCGTTTTATCCCCTATCCAATGGAAGTGAACATTTCTAGTAGAAGAGAATCACAGTTGTTCTCTGGTACAGGATTAATGATAAGTAAAAGCAGATATGCTTGGTCATAGTGACAATCTGTGTATTGAGGTTCCAGCCAATTATTAAATAGATGTTCGGGTAAACAGCCCCACATTTCACAAAGTAGCCATGATGACTAACAGTTGAGGTATGCTTTTGAGGAAACCTAATTGTGACCTTGGGAAAACAGCACTATCCTGAATGGTATGTTGTTAGGACCTGAGGATGAGAAACTACAAAAACTTTCCAGGTGTGTTCAAGTTTTTTTCCAAATCTCTTCAGGTTTACTTTATTAGGGATGCACCAGAATTTGTTCCAGTGCTGTGTGACCAGAGTACTCCAGGTTTCTGAGCTAAAAGTGTATAAAGATGTTTCTTAAAACACTGATCACAGATGAGAGAATCAAGTCCAGACCATCTGACAAGCCATTTATGTAATATGTTTCCTCATTAAGAACATTAGGTCCAAAGATGTTCCTAAGAGCTGTTTACCACTGAGATCATCAGTATGATGAAGAGAAAATGAGCATTTTAACAAGTTTTGACTAGTAGACATTCCATTTGTCTTTTTCAAGGCCTTGATAAGTAACACATGTCTTTAAGATCTTTAACCCTTTTTAACCAAAATTTGAGTACATTTTTGTCTCATGCTAACAATATTTATACTTCTGGACATAAAGAGTCCAGTTTCTTTGTCCACATATTGATCATAAAACTCTCAAAGAATGGTTTATAAACCTATATGAGATTTTCCCCAGGAACTTGTTAGGTGTATGGATTATTTCTCTGCTCCACCAAAAGAATGTGTAAGTGTAGGTTGGAGAGAGCTGCCCTTGAAACAAAGTCCCTGCAGATTTTTGTCTCCTGCCCTTGATGTTAACACAGAAATAACTTTATCTTGAAATACATGTACACATGCACATACCAGTTTATTTTTGTGAGGTTAGAATATATCAAGGTTCTAGATTATAAAAAATAGTACTTAGACATATACACCTCCAAAAGTCAGAACTGATGGGTAAAACAGGGTAATTCCAAGCAGGGTAGAGTTTAAACGAGTACAGCTTCTGTTAGCACGCTTGAGTTTTGAATTAGGTTCAAATAGAGTATCTTGGGGTCAGGTTATCCATAGTGGAATTGCATGGCTTCCTCTGGACCTATATTGATCAAAGTGAAAATATCCCTTTTCAAATGTTTTCTGTTAAAAAGAATTAAAATAGATTTTATCATTGCTTATTTCAGCAAGGCTGTTTGCAGCAGCATCTGCCTTCCTCCTGTCTCTCAAAGCATTCCTCAATTCCTTTTATTGTGTAGAGAGGCTGGCCAAATTGAAAAGTATTGAAATTGGAGGCCTGATAAACTTTGCTGAGAATACCTCCAGAACCTACCCTCATTGATCTCAGTCCTGTTCTTCAGAGAGGCAGGTATCATAAATAGTTTACATAAATGAGTAATAAGCAAGGCATAGTTTGACTGCCTGGTGGGGCTAGTCTTGATTCAAATATTTATAACCCTTACAGGAAGCTGAGTAAGACCTTTGACCTAAGACTAAGATAGAAAACCAATAAAAACAAGGTAGTCAGCATAATTAGTGCCATCTACTGGATGGTTACTAAATCGTTTCAGTAATTTAGGAATCTGGCTTAAAGTGGGAGAAAGTTGCTATTATTCCATCAGATGGGAATTTTTTTGATGTTT